GCAGAGACATTGACCGAATTGCAGGATAGACTAAAATTCTACAGTGATAAACATGCTGTTCAGACACAAGAGCTTTTGGATTTTCTCAGAAGAACCAATACAGAAGAAAGCTTCCATCAAATGAAAGGTTTCGAGTTCCTACAATCTGGATATCGTCTATTAATTGAAAATGCGAAGTCTAGAATTCAAAGTTTAATTGCTGAGGCACAAGAAGAGGATAGAAACTTACACAAATATGAGAGACAATCTGATCATTCTTTCAATGATATTCCTTCTCTATCCTCACAAAACACTTCAATACTGGCCAGGAAAAGAGCAAAAGCTGAAGCTGCTAAGGTGAGCTTGGAATTCGCTATTCAAGAAGCTGAGCTGAGAAAAGATCAAGCACGCTTAATAGAAAAACACTTATTGGAGGAGGCTACAGCGAAGGCTGCTGCTGCTCGTAAGAAGGCTGAAATTGATGCTGAACTCGAACTCCTGACTCTCAAGCGAAAGGCTGCAGAAACTAAGACAGAAGCTGATTTTCTAGAATCTGAGCACTCTCGTTCATCATCAAAACACTCATCCATTCATTCGCTACCAAAGGATGACCCTATGTTGAGGACAGAGAAATACATTGAGCAACTCTCAAAAGACACAGAAGATAAGATTCGTGAATCAGAAATCTCAAAATTGGAAGTCCAGCATGTTAATGCAGTTTGTACGAATCCAAACACTAAAGATCCACCAGACAGACATTGCTATATGCTGAACCCTGAAGCTCCTCCTTATGTTCCTAACCCTTATACCCCTGCATCCGACTTCACAAAATTTCTGCTGAAAAAGGACCTGTTACTTACACGCCTGGTTAACTTTAATGACAGGCCTGAATCCTTTGCTTCTTGGAAAAGCAGCTTTCAGACTGTCATGAGAGAACTTGGGGTTAATCCTAATGAAGAAATAGACCTTTTAGTCAAATGGCTAGGTCCTGATTCACAGAAACATGCCATGACGCTCAAAATGGCAAACATCTCCAACCCAGAAAGAGGATTGCATCGTATCTGGAACCGTTTGGAGGAACGCTTTGGTGCTGCGGAAATGGTGGAGTCAGCATTAAAAGAGAAACTTAACTCTTTTCCAAGAATAACAAAAAACTACAAAATGTTATACGACTTAGCAGATGTACTTACCGAGATTGAATCTGTTATGGAGGATCCGAAATATCGCAGTGTCTTAGCTTATTATGATTCATCATCTGGTGTTTCACCCATTGTGGGCAAACTCCCACTCAATCTTCAAGAAAAATGGACAAGTACTGCTATCAAATACATTGAAAAGAATGGTGTTCTATACCCACCTTTTACATTTTTCGCAGAATTTGTTCGGAAGTTAAGTAGCACAAAGAACAATCCAAGTTTCAAATATGACCCAGTGACTTCTGGAATGTGTCAGAAAGAGAACAAATTCACAAGAGACAGTGGCAGGGTACCAAGGGTAACCATACTGAAAACTGAGATGAGTCCAGCATCGAAAGGGCTAAATAAGGAAACAAAATCTGGATTGAAGAAGGCTGATGAAAGTAGTCGTTGTCAACTTCACAATGCCAACCATCCTCTTAACAAATGCCGTGCCTTCAGGAACAAAAGTTTAGAAGAGCGTAGAAAGTTTTTAAAGGAGAAGGGGATATGTTTCCGATGTTGTTCTTCAACAACACACATAAGGCGCAACTGCAAGGAGACAGTTTCGTGTGAGGAGTGTTCCAGCGGTAGTCACCCAACGGCACTTCATCCAGACAAGAAGCAAGCTAGCAGTTCTAGTGGAAATCCATATTCCTTGACACATTATGGCGGGGAGAAAACCACTGAAGCTCCAGCTTTGAATGTTAACTCTGCATGCACCCAGATCTGTAAGGATATGTTTCAAGGAAAATCATGTGCGAAAACTGTATTGGTACGAGTCTTCAGGAAAGACCATCCAGAAATAGATTTAAAAACCTATGCGATAATTGACGATCAAAGCAATCGCTCACTCGCTAGTCCCGAGTTCTTTGACTATTTTGGTGTCCATGACGGAGTCACAGAGTACACATTAGCATCATGCATGGGAATTGTCAATACATCTGGAAGAAAGGCCTTTGGATTCATAGTGGAATCACTAGATGGAAGTAAACAGCTCGCTCTGCCGACTGTGATAGAATGCGAACACATCCCTAACGATCGGGAGGAAATACCTACATCAGATGTAGCGGCTAGCTATCCTCACCTGGCTGATATTGCAAGACACTTCACTCCACTGGATGAAGATGCGCAAATTCTTCTACTGATAGGACGAGATCTCCTGGAAGCACACTATGTGCTAGACCAAAGAATAGGACCAGAAAACAGCCCATTGGCCCAAAGGCTCCCTTTGGGATGGACTATGATTGGAGAAACTTGTCTTGGGGGAGCACATGAGCCCAAGACCATTCAAGTAAACAAAACCTATATTCTCTCAAATGGACGAGCATCTTTACTCAAACCATGCCAAAATGAGTTTAATTTGAAGGAGAGATCTTCAGATAATTTTGGCCAGTCAGTGTTTGATAGGACAGATGCAGATGAGAAGCCAGGACTATCGTCGGAGGATAGGAAATTTCTTGAAATTATGGACCAAAACTTCACACGAGATGTAGATGGTTTTTGGACAGCCCCCTTGCCATTTAGACAGGATAGAGAAAGGCTTCCAAACAACAGAACACAGGCCCTTAAGCGGGCCAAAAGTCTTCACATCAGCATGGAGAGAGACCCCATAAAGAAAAGACACATGTTTGAGTTTATGAGTAACATCTTAGACAAACATGCGGAATTGGCACCCCCTGTTTCGGACGGAAAAGAATATTGGTACCTCCCAGTCTTTGGGGTCTATCACCCAAGAAAGCCAGATAAGATTAGGGGAGTGTTCGACTCTTCAGCAAAGCATTGTGGAATATCGCTCAACGATGTTCTTATGTCTGGTCCAGACCTCACAAACAGTTTGTTGGGCGTTCTCATGAGATTTAGGCAAGACACAGTTGCTGTCATGACTGATGTGGAGCAAATGTTTTACTGCTTTAGAGTACAGGAGGAACACAGAGACTATCTCCGCTTTCTTTGGTACCGTAATAATAATCCTGAGGAGGACTTGGCAGAATACAGAATGAAAGTCCATGTATTCGGCAACAGCCCTTCTCCGGCAGTAGCCACCTATGGTCTTAGAAAAGTTGCAGAGATCAGTTCCAAAGCCTTCGGAGAAGATGTGAAATTGTTTGTAGAACGAGACTTCTACGTTGATGATGGCTTAACATCTCTTTGTGAAGAGGCATCTGCTGTCGATCTGATCAAAAGGACACAACAAGCACTTCTGAATAAAGGCAATCTGCGCCTTCATAAGATAGTGTCCAACTCTAGAGCTGTAATGAACTCATTTGAATCGAGAGACCTCGCAAAGGGTCTAGAGGATGTCGATATTGGTGCAGAAGAGCTTCCCGTCCAGCGAAGCCTTGGAATATGTTGGAACCTCAACAGTGATTCTTTTTTGTTCCTGGTTTCAGCAGATGAGAAACCATTCACACGCAGAGGAGTACTCAGTACGATTAACAGCATTTTCGACCCACTTGGATTTCTAACGCCAGTGGTTATCGAGGGGAAAATGTTACTAAGGACATTGGTTCAAGAGTCGATTGATTGGGATGAGCCCCTTCCGGATCATCATAAGGATCGATGGCAGAAATGGAAAAACTCGCTTGCTGCTTTAGAACAAGTCAGAATCCCACGAACTTACACCAGTACATCTATCAGAGACTGTCCCGAAAAATCCATCCATGTCTATTCAGATGCCTCAGAAAAGGCAATAGCTGCCGTAGCTTATATAAAAACAGGTAGTACAGATGGAAGAGAAGAAATTGGTTTCTTGCTTGGAAAGGCCAAATTAGCCCCTTCGCATGGTCACACAATTCCGAGGTTGGAGTTGTGTGCGGCAGTTCTGGCAACGGAGATTGTTCAGTGTATTAGGGATCATCTTGACATTCCTCTGCATAGTTTCCATATGTATACAGATAGTAAGGTCACACTGGGATATATACATAACCAAGTTAGAAGGTTTTACACCTACGTGAGCAATAGAGTGGCCCGCATTCACCAAGTAACCTCACCAAAGCAATGGACTTATGTACCTACGGATAGTAACCCAGCTGACCTAGCAACAAGATCTATTGCAGCATCTGAACTTTCAACAAGCACATGGCTACTTGGACCATCTCATCTTCGAGAGAACATCAGAACCCAATTTGAACCCTTTGACCTACAAAACCCAGACTCAGACAAAGAAATCAGACCATTAGCAGTTGTGTCATGTAGAAAGACAGAGATACTAGAATCCAAAACCAAGCTTTTGGGTTCACACCGTTTTAGACAGTTTTCTCAATGGACAAGACTTGTCGAGATTATGTGTAAACTGAAGCACATCGCCCAAAGTTTCACTGCTGCGAGGAAGTGTAAAGGATGGCATCTTTGTGCTGAGACTCAAACTCTCGATTCATACAAAGAAGCTGAAAGCATGATAATCAGATGTGTACAACAGGAGTCTTTTTCCACAGAGCTTCAATGTCTTGAAAGACATGAACCTCTTCCGAGGAATACTCAGCTGCGGAAATTGGATCCTTTCATTGGTGCCGATGGTCTCCTTAGAGTTGGGGGTCGTCTTAACCTAAGCAACATTCAGCAAAGTGAAAAAAATCCAGTTATCATTCCAAGTCGAAATTACATTGCAACTTTGTTGGTCAGATTCTATCATGAAAAGTGCAAACATCAAGGGAGGCATATCACTGCAGGGGCAGTCCGCATGGCAGGATTCTGGATCTTGGGTGGGAAAAGATTGGTCTCAACCATCATCTACCACTGTGTGACATGCCGTAAACTACGAAGACAAGTAGAACACCAAAAGATGGCCGACCTTCCCTCAGACCGTTTGGAGCCTGCACCTCCTTTTACGAATGTTGGCTTGGATGTGTTCGGACCATGGTCCGTTGTTACACGACGCACGAAAGGCGGAGCAGCTAACTCCAAGAGATGGGCGGTTCTATTCACATGCCTTTCTACTCGTGGAGTACACATAGAAGTCATCGAAGAGCTTAGTTCATCATCCTTTATAAATGCATTTAAGCGTTTTATGGCTATCAGGGGACCCGTTAAGATTGTGAGATCTGACCGTGGTACGAATTTCGTTGGTGCTACAGACGATCTCTGCATAGACACAGTTAAGGTAGAGGATCATCCTGTCAAGGACTTCCTGTATGACAGTGGAGTAGTTTGGATATTCAACCCTCCTCACGCATCCCACATGGGTGGTGTGTGGGAGAGGCTGATAGGGGTTACGCGCAGAATTCTGGATGCCATGCTTCTTGGAACGCCTGGAAAAGCATTGACGCATGAAGTCCTTACTACCTTCTTAGCTGAGGTATCTGCGATTATTAACTCTCGCCCGCTTGTTGGTGTGTCATCTGATCCAGAAGATCCTTATCATCTAAGTCCATCTTTGCTTCTCACACAAAAGCCAGACGTCCTTGTTCCAGCCGGGCTTTCGTTTGACGAAAAAGACTCGTATAAGGTTCAATGGAAAAAAGTGCAGTACCTGGCAGATGTCTTTTGGTCCAAGTGGAAGAAACAATACCTCCAGACACTTCAGGAGCGGCAAAAATGGCAGACAAACAACAAAGATCTGCGTGTTGGTGATGTCGTCCTTCTGAAGGATGAGTTACAGAACAGAATTTACTGGCCCATGGGTCTTGTGACGAGAACCTTTCCTGGATCGGATGGAAGAGTACGAAAGATAGAAGTCCGCATCATACGTGATGGGAAACCCACAGAATATGTTCGACCGGTGAACCAAGTTGTTCTCTTGATATCTGAAACCTAGTTGATATCTGCGATATCAGGCGGGGAGTGTTCCGCCACAGCTTCCATACCTGACTTTCCCCATGTGCTAACGGGGTACATGTGCTTCCGGCGAAGCAATATGTGTTCATGTTTTTGTTTCGGGAAGCTGACCACAGTGTAAGTTATGACATTTATTTAGTGACTGTGAAGCAGTTGAGATTTGCTTCATTTCGTTTCTTATTTGTGTATCAATTTGATATCAAACGGAATTGATTTAGATTGTTTACTACTGTTGATCACGTGACTTATTCATTGTGCTATCTAGTCTCTTAAATTGATATAGTTCAGTATTATTATGTATCACTCTTTATGTACATGTAAAGTTTATATTATCAGTATTACTTGAATATGTGTTTGGCTCAGATTATTGTGTTTAAATTCAGGAATTACTAAACTAGGGGCTTGATAAAAATTTTTATGTATGGAAACCAGTTTGTGCCATAAATTGGGATTGTATTCATTTTATAAGTCACCTTGTGCTCTTTGTTTGTTAATTGATTCTTATACCAAACTTTCTTTTGTTCCAGCTTTTTACCAATCATTTACCAATAAAGTCAGTCAACACTTTAGAGGTCTAGTGGTTTATTCTGGCTGCGGGTTCCGTACCGTGGGGCAGCACATAGATACAAGCATAATTTGTAAACACTCAAGAGGACAAGAAAACACATAAACATACAGCAATAAAAACATAAAATTTATGTTGAGTCTAGGCAATACAGAGGTGATGAGTAATTTGAATTACCTCCGTTACACCAGGTAGCTATATATGGCATTACAACTGAGTCCCTAAACTACAAAAAAATATCAAGGGACGGTGCTCTAGGATACGCATGTCTCAGCAGTGCAACTGTCTGGACAGCATTTCTCCTCATAACTAATGTAGATCAGCAATTCAATAATGAATGTGTCACATAAAATTGAGAAAATATAAATAATTAAATAAGCAAAAATTAATCAAATGTTGCCATGTTGGTGTATAAATGTACATAAACTATAAGATAAGGATGTATCCATGGTTGCCAGTCTGCAGAAGACATCAAGGGACGGTGCTCTAGAAAATGCATGATCCTAGTCAAATACATTAACATTGATAAAAGGTTGCATTCCTCCTCATGTTTAATGTAGATAGGCAAAATGAGCACAATTATATTTATAAAACGTAAAAGCTAAATATAAAATTGTTTAAAAAGTCATATACAGTGTTTTGATATGAATTGAATTAGTATTCTTAGGATTGACTCATTTTCATTTGTTTGTTTGATTGTTGTTTAACGTCCCTCTCGAGAATTTTTCACTCATATGGAGACGCCACCACTTGCCGGTGGAGAGCTGCAATTTTTTTTACATATACTCGGCACTTAGGGCCATTGAGCAGTGAGGGATCTTTGTCGTGCCAGCACCTACTGCGACACGTGCCCTCGGTTTATACGGTCTCATCCGAAGGACCGGTCTCCATTTCCCACAGTAGGATTCGAACCCGCGACGTAAGGATTAACTCCTTACTCCGCGACTCTAGAGCAGACGCTCTTACCACTGCGCCACGCTGGCGACCATTTTCATTTGAAAATAGCCATATAAGATTCCCATTAAAATCAGGATTAGGGAAATTGGTACAAAATTCTGAGACAGATTTTAAGAAAATTTCTCGTTCATCTATGAATTTTGTACATTTGAAGAGAACATGTATTTCATCCTCCACCTCATTTAAATCACATTTTGAACAAAATCGCATGTGTACTTGGATACCCTGTAACCTTCCAACTTCAATTTGTAAATGATGTGAAGATATTCAAAATCTACTCAGTCATCTCCTAAACTCAAAATTCTTAATGATATTAAGATAATTTTCGAAACCAAATTGATCTCTAATTTTGACATAAGTACGTAGTTTACCATCCATATAGCTGCCCAAATTGTCATGCCATAATTTCATCTAAATTTTCTTCAGAATTTTGTGAATTGTTTATTTACTAACTTTTGTCCTGTTATTTAAACATCCCTTCAATTCTGGTATATTTTCTAGAATAATGTGTAGTGACCTGTACCAAGAGTAACTATTATCAGCATATATATAGTTTCTTAGAATGTTTATATGCATTTCTGAGTAAAGGAAGCTCTCTTTCATTTTGTTTCAAACTTTCAAGTCTTTGCCAATACCTAACCATGTTTTGTACTATGTCAAAGTGTAACGGGAATCTACCAAGCTCTGATAAAACAACAAAATTTGCAGATTTTTTATGCAAACCAAGAAGAAATTTACAAACTTAAGCTTTATGTGTTTTTCACATATGTAACTAGAGCATATATGATCCATAGAGACCTTAACCCTCACCCCCTTTCTGAACTTACATCGTGTGATCAAATACATGTAGGCATGTTTTAATTTTGGGATTCATTGAAAGAAAATTTTTCTGTATTTTGAAGTATGCTTTTAAAGCCTTTTTATCTTAATTACTTTTAGCAAAGGAGAAAATGCCTGATGCACTGAAGAATATACCAAGATATCTACAATGTTGTACACATTCAAGGTTATATTCCTTACAAGTAAGTCTCTCAAATCAAAAGACTCATTAACAAATTTGTCACTTCGGAAATCCGGTGAAATAGTAGCTTATTTTAGAAATTTAATTTCTTAATCATGCAAGATAATTAATAATAAATATGACAATATACTTTGGTTCAGAACAGAAAGTAAAACATTTGGTATCGACAACCATTTATTAATAGGTACAGTCTACATACCACCATCAAACTCTCGATTTTCATCCGTTGAGATTTTTTATGATATCGAGAATGGAATTTTTAATCTATCTGCAGAGAAAAAAATAATAATGTATTTTTTACTTGGTGACTTTAGTAGTAGAATTTCTACTCTTAAAGAATTTACTGATAGTGATGAGGTTTTGGTAAAAACACATATCCCTGTGTCTGGTATACTGATTTTAATTAAGCTGTTGCTCAGATTGATATGAAATATCTTGAAAAAAGGAATTTTAGAGATTAGATTATTAACCAATATGGAAAAAAATATTGATGTTTGTAAACACTGTAGTACTCATATATTTTCATTCTCAATGGTGGATCCAAAGCTGACTCAATTGTGAATGTACATGTAAACAAACTAGTGTTGTAGACTATTGTATTATCAAATTTGAGTTTTTCAGTTTTTAAGACATGTATCAAATATTAGAATATAACCATTCTCTACACTATTATCTGATGTTCACAATCTTAGGAAGTTTTACTAGCCTTTGAAAAAACATGCTTCTAATTAACTAACAAGCAAAAACAAGTAAAGACATTGTTACAAATTGGATTCCAGTTATAATATTTACATTTGAATTTGTTCAGAAAATTTTATTACATAAAGGTATTGTGATTGAGCACCTCCTATTTTACTTTTTGTTCGGACACATATTTTAGGTTTCCCATAGCAAAGCATGGACACTGCCATTCTTTCTATGATATTAGGGGTACCCATCTCTCATCCATAACTCCTCTTAAACAACTGAATAAAATATAATACTTTCAAGGAATTTTTATTACATAGTGACATTGTACACCCTCTAATTTATTTTTGATCGGACACATATTTCTGTCTTCCCAAAATAAAACATGGACACTGCCATTCTTTCTATATTATCGGGAGTACCCCTTTCTTATTTGCAACTCCTTCTATACCATTGAATAAAATTAAATGATACTTTCACAGAATCTTTATTTCATAGTATTTTTGTCCACCTCTCACTTTACTTTTTATTTTTTGATCGGACATATATTTGGGGTACCCATAGCAAAAATAGGACTTTGCCATTATTTAACAATAAATTGCTTTGAAATTCTTTGTTTGTTAGTACGGGGATTAATGCTGAAGCTGTTGAAGACAAAATACATAACCCGCGTAAAAGGGGAAATGTAATTTTTTCTGCAATAGCTACGACGTTAATTCCCCTACTAACAAACAAAGAAAGACATTTTGTTGTTTATATTTATATTTGTACAAATATAATCATTTAAAGTAGGATTTATTAGATGAAATAGTGCATTACTGATATGTACGCCATTGTACGTTTCATTGATGGAACAGCCACTGCTCAAGAAATCTGTAGAGGTGATTTGCTTATTGCTGTTTACTGACTGATAAAAGGCAATGATTTTCTTAACAAAGAAAGGAAATAATATTCAGTGGATGAAAATATAATAATATGGGAGGAGAGTTATCATTTTGTGAGCTCACTGCTCACGTGAGCTCACAGAACCTCTGATATGTTATAACCCCGCTTGAAAAGCTAGGGGTTCATAGTGATTAGGTGTCCATCTTTCCGTACTCACGTAACACTTGAGGTTACCCACTTCTTATCCGCAACCCCTCCTATACCAATGAATAAAATTTACCAGACTTTCACAGAATCGTTATTACATAGTTCAGTTGTGCACCTCTTATTTTAACTCTTATTTTAATTTTTGATGGGCAGATATATAGGGTTTCCCAAAGCAAAATATGCACACTGCCATTCTTTCTTTAACATGAGGGTACCCATCTCTTTTCCTCAATTCCTCACATGTCACTGAGTAAAATTTAATCAGGCTCTCAAGGAATATTGATTATAAAGTGCAATTGTAAACCTATTATTTTATTTTTTGATTTGAACAGAAATTTGGAATTCCCAAAGCAAAATCTGGATACTGCCATTCTTTCTGTAACATTGGGGAATCACATGATCTCTTATCCATAACTCCTCCTACACCACTTAATCAAATTAAATGAGACTTTCATAGAATCTTTTTTACAAAGTGCCATTGTGCACCTGCTACTTTTCATTTTGATCGGACAGATATATACATGTATTTTGGGCTTTCCCATAGTAAAACGTGGACACTGCTATTCTTTCTATAACATTTGGTGTAACCATCTCTTATCCGCGACTCTACCTACATGTATACTACTGAATCAAAATTAATGAATCTTTCACAGATTCTTTATTACATAGTGTCATACCTCCTATTTTATGTTCTGATCAGATATTTGGGTATCATTTTGTGAGTTCAGTTATTACAGTACCTCTAGTTTTATATTATATTGATTGTACCCATTGTACATATGCATTTTCTCTATAATTTTGTTCAGTTATGAGAGTAAAGTACATTTTAAATCTTTCATAACATGTTAAGTACTAGTTATAGGCTTACATAAAGAAGTTAAACGGTTTGCTTATTGAAAAGTTTAAAGTTGAATAGATGTACGTAAATGGTTTTGCTTTGCTTTGCTGCCTAGGTGTCAAGTTATTTAACCCCTTAAATATAAGAGAAAATATATTTTTCATGAATTTCTTGGAGGAAAAAAGATCGATAGTCACAACATATCTTCAAATTTGCTATGATTAAAATATTTGACACCATAAACTCATATCAGACAAAATTTGATGACAACATCTCCAGACTTTGAAAAATAGCCTTTTTGAACATGTCCAGATTCCCATCATTAGCGTTTGCAGCAATGCAGAGAAGTGTCAGTGACTCTCTCCAAAAGTCAAAAACTTGATGTAATACACATGAAAAAATGTTTTGGGGAAAATTATTACCATGGAAACTAAGTTAAGAAAAATATCTTTTCCATTCA